CATTTTTGCCTCCTATAATTTATAGTACACATGCACATTGCAGCTATATGTGTTTGAGGCTTTAGTTTATCCAGTGTCATTGTTTTTGTCTCTACTGTTCTCTTTGGGATTGCCAGGAAACTCCTTGCCTAATGGAATCTAATGGAATCCACATGGGTGAAGGGCCCCAAGTGCTTGGACAATCGTCAGCTGCTTTCTCAGGCATGGGGCTGGATCAGAAGTGGAACAGCCAGGACTCGAACTGGTGACCATATGGGATGCTGGTGCGGCACCACAGTGCCAGCTCCTATGAATTTTTTGTGTGGCTTGTCTTGGTCATCTTTGGTTGTGTGATTCATCCATGTCATATGTACTTACAGGTTACTCATTAGGCATTTTTGTATAACGTTTCCCTGTATAAATATGCCACATTTCTTTTTTCATTTATATCACTGATGGACATCTCAGTAGTTTTCTGTTGCAGGCTATTATGAATAAATCTTGGTGAATTTCAAATTTTCATTTTCTCCTCTCACCCCCAGCCCAGAGTTCAGTTCCTATTTTCATAGTATTGGGTTTATGAGCAATTTGGGAGTAAGGGTTATCCTAGAAGATGCCTGTGAGTCCTTGAAGGTGCATGAGTATGTGTCTCTAAGTGGGACCTGTAGACATCAGATACAGGGACTTGGCCCTCAGTGCTTGAGTTCTGTGAGTGTTCCTGATAGATCCAGTGCATCATCTAGAGTTTGTAAAGCTCCATTACATGGAAATGGAAAGAAGTGCACTTGGGGCCTCTTTGCTGTCAGTGGTAGTGTCAGTTCCTGGGAGCGCTGAGGATCCATTTGGGGAATGGCCTCAGAGTGGAGTTACTGAGTCAGTTACTGGGGAGCTCTGATGGCCTGTTTTGTGGAGGTTCAGTTGGCTGTCAGTAGTAGATCTATGGGACTTACTGTACAGGAGACCAGGAACAATAACTACTTGTTAATTTCCTTGACTGGGGTGCTCGCTGGGGTTGGTTAGTGAGGAGGTTTCTAGTGAATTGGGCCCTGGGTGATTAATAATGATGCCCTATTGGGTGATAATCACTTGGAACTTTTGTGGATCACTGGTTTCTTGTAATTTTGAAAAGCAGAGCGAGCGAGCGAGAGGTCTTCAATCTACTGGTTCACATTCCAGGTGTTCACAACAGCCAGGGCTGGGTCAGACTGAAGCCAGGAGCCACGATCTAGATTTCCCATGTGGGTGGCAGGGAGTTGAGTCGTCATGTGAGACACCTTCCCAGAAAGGCAGATGGGAAGCACATTAGCTGGAACTTGAACCAGGAATGCAGATGTGGGATGCGGTGTCTCAAGGAGTGGCTCAACTTGCTGCACTACAGTGTCTGCCCCAGGTCAGTTACTTACATGCCTGTGTTGTCAGTTACAGAAAGTAGATTAGAAGTGACCAAAGGCTGGAGGGAGAGAGAACAATGAAGAATTACTGATGAAGAATTGCTGCTTCATTGGTACAGAGTTACTTTATTTTAAACTCATATAGGCACTGTCTTTTGAAAATTTATTATTTGAAAGGCAGAGTTACAGAGAGGCAGAGGCAGAGAGGTCTTCCATCCACTGGCTCACTCCCCAGATGGCCGCAACAGCCGGAGCTTTGCTGATCTGAAGACCGGAGCCAGGAGCTTCCTCCAGGTCTTTCACGTGGGTACACTGCCCCCAAGGACTTGAGCCATCTTCTACTGCTTTCCCAGGCCATAGCAGAGAGCTGGGTTGGAAGAGGAGTAGCCAGGACTAGAACTGGTGCCCATATGGGAAGCCAGCACTGTGGCATAGCGGGAAAGACACTGCCTGCAATGCTGGCATCCCATATGGGTGCCGGTTCAAGTCCCGGCTACTCATCTTGTGACCCAGTTCTCTGCTATGGCCTGGGAAAGCAGTAGAAGGTGGCCCAAATGCTTGGGACCCTGCACCCACATGGAAGACCCAAAAGAAGCTCCCGGCTCCTGGCTTCAGCCTGGCCCAACCCTGGTCGTTGAAGCCATTTGGGGAGTGAACCAACAGATGGAAGACCTTTCTCTCTATCTCGGCCTTTCACATTAAATATTTAAAAAAAAAAAAATGAGAATATAACAAGTGTTAGTATGTGTAGAAACTTGAGCCCTCATTTGCTGTTGGTGGGAATGTAAAATGGCGCAGCAACTGAAAAACCATCTAGCAGTTCTTCAAAAGACATAAAATCAAATGATGTAGCAACTCCTGTCCCAAGTATGTATCTAAGAGAAATGAAAATGTATGTCCATTCAGGGACTTGTACGTCAGTGTTCACAGTAGCATTAAGCATCAGAATACCAAATGTAGTGGTGTATTCTTCTGTCACAGAAGGAAATGAAGTACTTATGCATGCTATATTATGGATGAACCTTTGACTCATGCTAAGTGAAATAATCCATTAAAAAGCTGAGTTGCGTATTTCCACTTATATGAAATAGTTATGGAAAAAATGTATAGAGACAGAAGGTAGTTCACAGGTAGCTGAGATCTCAGGAGGTTGTTGATAAATGAGAGTGCTAATGAGTAGATTTTTTTTTTGAGCAATGAGATCATCATAATGATTGCATGTCTGAATTTATTAAAAATCCTAGAGTCATATATTTTAAATGGCTGAATTGGCAAATGAATTAAATACATAATAATGTCTGTAAAAGCAAAGTCCTGTTCTGTGAATAAAATATTAATAAATTGACACCACCTTGCCAACATTCAAATCAGAAAAAGATTGGGAAGTGAGGGAGAGAGAGAGAAGGAGGGAATAAGTCAGGAATGAAAATTGGATCACTGTGAATACGGATGCTGCAGGCATTAAAAAGATAGTTAAAGATCTTTCTGGAACCTCCATATTTTTATCACCTTTTTAATGTATGCAGGATTCAAGTGACCAAATTTTCATTCTGTTTTGGAATATGGTATTTCCTCTAAAACAGTAAAACTAAAATTACCATATAATCCAGCAGTTCTCCAAGGGAATGGAAATTGGTGTGTTGAAGATGTACCTGTACCGCTCTGTGTATTTCAGCATTACACACAACCATGGAAGCAACCTAAGTGTCTCAGTGAATGAATGGATTAAGAAAATGCACTTTAGGGGACCGCGGCTCAATAGGCTAATCCTCCGCCTGCGGCACCAGCACACTGGGTTCTAGTCCCGGTCCGGGCGCCGGATTCTGTCCCGGTTGCCCCTCTTCCAGGCCAGCTCTCTGCTATGGCCAGGGAGTGCAGTGGAGGATGGCCCAAGTGCTTGGGCCCTGCACCCCATGGGAGACCAGGAGAAGCACCTGGCTCCTGTCATCGGATCAGCGCGGTGCGCCGGCCGCAGTGCGCCGGCTGCGGCGGCCATTGGAGGGTGAACCAACGGCAAAAGGAAGACCTTTCTCTCTGTCTCTCTCTCTCTCACTGTCCACTCTGCCTGTCAAAAAAAAAAAATGCACTTTGACATCCAAGGGAATAGGAGAGACCACCTTAAAAATGTATCAGTTGGCTTTTTGTTACAACACAATACCTGAGGTAAACTACATATGAAGGAAGGAGGTTCATCTTGCTTACAGTAAGGGAGGTTTAAGTCTAAGTAAGATTGGGCCACCGGTTGGTTTGATAAAGGCAGTGACTGGGAATGGTGACACACTTGTGGTGGAAAGATCACGTGGGCAGCCAGGAAGTGCAGAGAGAAGCTGGACCTAACTCAGGCATTTATAATCACTCTCTCAAGAGCACTACGTCTGAGGGCATGTCCCCAGTGACTTGAGCACCTTCCATGAGGCTCACTTCCTGCACACCATAATCGGATTCAGTTTATACCCTCTTAGTAACATTAACCTGTGACGCTGGGACTTGAACTTCTGCCATTTTCAAAGTATAGTAAAAAAGGAAGAAAATTGTGTCGTTTATGACAACATGGATGGGACTGGAGAATGCTGTGCTAAGGAAATGAGTTAGGCACATAAAGACAAATATTATATGATCTTATTTATATGTGGAATCCTAAAAAACTCAGAAACCTCAGAAAAATAGTAGCAATAGGGTTATCAGAGGCTGGGATGAAGAATGAGAATATGAAAGGCAAAGATGAAGATGTGGGTCAACAGGTACATTTCAGTTAGACTGTAGGAATAAGTTTCAGTGACCTATTATACTAAACTGATTACCACTTAATAATGTATGTTTCAGAATTGCTAAAAGTAGGGCCAGCGCCATGGCTCACTTGGTTAATCCTCCACCTGCGGTGCCGACATCCCAGGTGGGTGCCGGGTTCTAGTCCCGGTTGCCCCTCTTCCAATCCAGCTCTCTGCTGCGGCCCGGGAAGGCAGTGGAGGATGGCCCAAGTGCTTGGGCACCTGCAACCACATGGGAGACCAGGAAGAGGCACCTGGCTCCTGGCTTCGGATCGGCGAAGTGCCAGCCATGGCAGCTGTTTGGTGAGTGAACCAACGGAAGGAAGACCTTTCTCTCTGTCTCTCTGTAACTCTACCTGTCAAATAAATAAAAAATCTAAAAAAAAAAAGATTTGCTAAAAGTAGATTTTTTTTATTTGACAGAGTTATAGTCTGTGAAAAAGAGACAGAAATGCCCCCCCTCCATTGGTTCACCCCTCAAATGGTTGCCACAGCTGGCACTGCACCGATCCAAAGCCAGGAGCCAGGTGCCTCCTCCTGGTGTCCCATACGGGCACAGGGGCCCAAGCACTTGGACCATCCTCCACTGCCCTCCTGGGCCACAGCAGAGAGCTGGACTGGAAGAGGAGCAACCAGGACTAGAACCCTGCACCCACATGGGATACCGGCACTGCAGGCGGAGGATTAACCAAGTGAGCCAGGGCGCTGGCCCCTAAAAGTAGATTTTTAACATGGTGCAATGATGGGTATGTTAGTTCCGCTCTTTATATACTGTATGCTTAGATCAAAACATCACATTATATCCCACAAATATATACAATTATTTGTGAATTTGAAAACAAAGACATAGCTGGCATTGTGGTATAGCAAGTTTAGCTGCTGCCTGCAATGCCAGCATCCAGTGTGGGTGCTAGCTGGTGTCTCGGCTGCTCCACTTCCTGATCCAGCTCCCTGCTAATGTACCTGGGAAGGCGGCAGAAGGTGGCCCAAGTTCTTGGGCAGGTGCTGCCAACATAGAATACCTGGAAGAAGCTCCTGGTGCCTGTCTGAAGCCCGGTCCAACCCTGCTCATTGCAGCCACTTGGAGAGTAAACCAGCAGATGGAAGATTCTCTCTCTCTCTCTCTTTCTCTCCCTCTCTCTATAACTCTGCCTTTTGAATAAATAAATAAATCTTTTTAAAAAAATTAAAAATGACATGTAGAGAAGTCTAGGCAATCATAAAGATGTGACAGCATTTGGCACAGGGTAAGCACTCAATGTTACCTGTCGTTCCCACTCAGGTTCTGTGTACACAGTGAGCAGGTGCCGTGTCAGTGAGCCTGTATGTGTGCGTATTGTTGTGGAAGGTTATTTTGGTGTATGAGTTGTTTGTTTTGTGTATGCCCATCCATCATTTGTGCCAGCGATGATCTCAAGCTTTCTTGAGAATAAGCCAGGTGGTTAAACAAACATCAGTAAATAAAAGTGGTATACTTATTATGTTAAAAAAAAGCATGTTCTATATAATTTATAGCACTACAATTGAACATTTAGGTGAAACAGACAAAACCTACTTTTATATAATACACCAACTCCGCCATGTGGAGTAATAGACAACCTGAAGAGTCATTTGGCTCAAGGAAATGTAATCCATTGTTGCAAACCTTTCCCGTGAGACAATTCAGGTTCAGGTGGCTTCTTTGTTGTATTCTACCAAATGTTTAAGGAAACAAAACTCAATACTTGTATTATAAAAGATCTTCAAAGAACTGGTAAAGACTAAAACATATCCAATTTATTTTATGAGTTGAGGCAAAAATAGATAATGAAAGGTAACAAGAAAATTCAAGAGAAAGAAGTTACAGGGCACACTGATGAACCCATATGCAAAAATACAAAATAACAGGATATTAGATCCTGTAATGTATACAGCAATATGTTATGAATAAGATTGGGTTAAGCCAATAATGCAGTAGAGTCATTTTACTTAGCATCTAAGTAGATGGAGAAAAGACATTTCATAAGATGTATCCAGTTAGCAAATAAAGAAAAATGGGAACTTCTGTGGTTGCATCAAGGTATCTGTAAGATTCCTAGAGAAGACGCTTTTTTTTTTTTTTTTTGACAGGCAGAGTGGACAGTGAGAGAGAGAGACAGAGAGAAAGGTCTTCCTTTTGCCGTTGGTTCACCCTCCAATGGCTGCTGCGGCCGGCGCACCGCGCTGATTCGAAGGCAGGAGCCAGGTGCTTCTCCTGGTCTCCCATGGGGTGCAGGGCCCAAGCACCTGGGCCATCCTCCACTGCCTTCCTGGGCCACAGCAGAGAGCTGGCCTGGAAGAGGGGCAACCGGGACAGAATCCGGCGCCCCGACCGGGACTAGAACCCGGTGTGCCGGTGCCGCTAGGCGGAGGATTAGTCTAGTGAGCCACAGTGCCGGGGAGAAGACACTTTCTTAATGGTGAGCTGCTGAAAGCTTTCCCTTGGTGTCCAGGAATGAGACCGGCGTTGTTCTGAAGTCCTAACCAATGCAGCAGGGCAAGAACCAAAAGCTGCAGTAACTGCGAAGAAGAAAACGTGTCATTAGTTAAAGATGTAATTGTGTTCACAGAAGTCCTAAAGAATTTCTAAAATGTTATCAACTCATTTTTCTACAAGATTTTTCATTATTCCGCCAGAGGCCATGGTAGATATCTCCTACTAATTCTCGCCCTCGCCTCCGTGCAATTTTTTTCTTTTTTTTTTTTCATGCAACTTTTATACTACAGATATGTCACTATATTGTAGCTCTGTTTATGTCCTGTGGTCCTTTGGTGGACCACAAACCACATACCATCTATTATTTTCTTGATCTACCACAAGAACCAATTTAGCCCCTCTAGGGCTGTTTCCCTTTCGAAAGTGTGTGAACTAAAAATTATCAGATAAGATTACTTGACAGTCTTTCGAAGTTAAAAGAAGCAAACTTCCAACAAAAAATAACATGCTACTGCTAGCATACTATTGGCAGAAATGTAAATTAGTTCAGACATTATAGAAAACAGCATGGAAGTTCCTGAAAAAACAAGAACTAGAACTATCACATGACCCGGCAACCACACCACCGGGTATATATCCAATGGAAATGAAGTCAGTGTCAAAGAGCCATCTGCACTCGCATGTGTACTGCAGCAGTACTCACAGTACCAACATACACAATCAACCCAGATGTCCGCTGACACGTGGATCTCTATAAAGATGCGGTGTGACATGTGTGATGATGTGTAGATACGCAGAATGAAATACCATGTATCCATTGAAAGAATGGAATATGAAATTGTGGGGCAGGCATTTGGCATAACAGCTTCAGTTGCCACTTGCAATGCCTGCATCTGCTTTTGTAGTCTGTGGCCACTCCACTTCTGATCCAGCTTTCTGCTAATATGGGAGGCAGCAGAAGATGGCTTAAGCACTTGAGTCCCTGTAGACACTTGGGAGACCTGGACTGAGTTCTGGCTTCTGACTTTGGCCTGGCTATTGTGTGGACATTTGTGGAGTGAATCAGTGAATGAAGATCTCTTTCTGTCTTTTTGTTCTCTCTCCTCTCTCTGTGTCTTTCAAGTAAAATGAAAATAAGTGAAAAACTTTTAAAAAGACTGAAATTCTGTCAATTGCAATTACATGGATGGAGCCAGAGGACACTGTTAACTGAAATGAGCCAGGCACAGAAAGACAAATACTGCATGTTCTCACATGTGAATGTCAAAAAGCTGACCTCAGAGAAGGCAGAGCGTGGGAAGGGTGGAGGTGTGGGGACAACGGAGAGAGGATGACTAACAAGTACACCAGTATTGTTGGATAGGAGGGATAACGTCTGATATTCAATACACAGTAGGATAACTGGCTGAAAACAATTGAATATTTCAAAACAGCTAGTAGAGAGGGCTCTGAGTATTCCTAACACAATATGTAAAATTACTCTGATTGGTGCACACTGTATACATGTACTGAAATGTCACAACGTACCCTATAATAGATACAACTACTACATGCTAATTGTAAGTGAAAATATATTTATTTTAGAAGATTGAACTTTGCACCTGAGGGCCACACAGAACAGCTTGAAGAACCAGGGGCTGTCTCTCTTTAGGGGCCTAGAGCAGCTGGTGCTGCCTCGCCCTGCCCCAAACGGAGATTATGTCCGGCTTAGCGATGGAAAGGTCGGTTTTTGCGGAAAATAAAAGATCAAGCTTAAAGTATTCTAGAAATCAAGTCCAGTTCCTTACCAGGGGAGCAACTGCAGGAATAACGAATGCTGAGATATCCTGAAGAAGGGGGACGAAAGACAAGGAAGGAACACGGAGGACTTTAGCAGCAGAAGTATGCATGAGGTCAGCAGTTCCAGAAGAGAGATGCTGTGATATGCAGGTAGATAGCTCACTCAGATCGCGTTAGTGATTCCTCTTTCACCACCTCTAGAAGTAGTTCTGTTTGCATAAAGTCATGTTTATCGCTGAGTAACAGATTCTCCTTGGGTAATTATGTCCCCCACTAGGGAGCTTTGGAGATGCGTGGTATCAAGTTTTGGTTGTTACAGTGATGGAAACATGCCAATAGAATTTACTGTCTAAGGGCCAGACATACTGGTTTATAATCTTACAATGCCAGGACAGTCCCAGGCAACAAAGTACACCTTGTTAGAAACTGTTCCTTTGTAAAACATATCAGCTAATGTCACAAATACTTTTCCTTATCAAGAGAAATTCCTTGGCTAATTATTTCATATAATTATCAAAAAAGAACTGCAAAAACTCTTGGCCCAAGTGACTATCTAAAAGCCTGCAATAAGACTTGACCGGGGCATTGTGGTGTAGCCAGTAAAGCCACCACCTGTGATGCCAGCATCCCATATGGGCACTGGTTCGAGTCCTGGCTGCTCTGCTTCCAATCCAGCTCCCTGCTATTGGCCTGGAGAAAGCAGCAGAGCATGGCCCGAGTACTAGGGCCCCTGCACCCGTGTGGGGAGACCCAGAAGCTCCTGGCTTCTAGCTCAGCCCCACCAATTCGGCCATTTGGGAAGTGAACCAGCAGATGGAAGATCTCTCCCTGTCTCTCCCTCTCTCTGACTTTCAAATAAATAAGTAAAGGTTTAAAAGATACACTTGACCAAACTCTAGCAAGGCTTCTTAGCTCGAGGCTGTGTCCCTAGTATGACCCTAGCCCCCTTTAAAATGCCTGTAAAAGAAACTGCTGAGAAGGTACTGTTTGTTCCAGCCGAAACCTGCAGATAAGCTTGGCTAAGCTTGGCGCAGTTATTTTCCAAGGCTTACAACTTGAAATCCTTTCTTTGCCCCTGAGACGTAAAATCTACCACCCAGAACTGTCTCAAGGGCCCGGGATCCACACCTTTAATGTGTAAGTATTCAAGGTGCTAGCTCCTGCTGTGGTTTCCCGGATCCTGTAGGAGGCTAAAGGGGTGCTTTTGGTGGGTGTCCCGCCCGACCTTGCACAACTAGCTCCTTCGAAAAGATTATGAGAACTTTCTCTTCTGGATGAGCACCAAGCAGTGGAAAAGAAAACCCAGATGGCTTAGTCACGTGGATCGCTCTCCTGCTTAACATCTGTCATTGTCTTCCTTCAGTCCACCACAGCATTAAAAATCCTTCCTGCCAGGGGCTCACGTTTGGACGTGTTGATAACACACACCTGTATGCCGGGGTCCTGTAACAAACCCCAGCTGCCTGCCTCCAGCCCCGGACTTAACTTCCAGCTAATGGAGAACCTGGGAGGCAGCAAGGACGGCTCAAGTGACAGGGTTCCTGCCCCTCACGAGGGAGAACTGGCTTGAGTTCCCAGCTCGTCTTCCACCAGGCCATATAAATGCTCAAATTATGAGAGTTCAGGTTGTATTTAAAAGCCACAGATGCACTCTCTTCCCACAACCCTAGCTGGTCGCTACCACGTGCACAGGCCTCAGCCCCAGGGCGCGCCGATCCTCGGATCCCACTGCTCCGCAGCCCTAGGCCACCGAGAACTTGGAACCGTGCCTGCGGGAGCTCCACGAGCCCGTTGTCTGGTCCGGAGACCACGGGGTTCCTGCGCGAGGCACGCCGGCCGCGGAGGCCTCCGGGAAATGTAGTCCAGCACGGGAGTAGAGGGAGGCCCGGAGCTGCGTTACCGAGCCCTTTTATGCCACACATGTAAGCCTGAAGCTGGCCCTCCTCCTGGCCCCGAACTGAAACGCTTCGGAAGTTTCTGAGGGCCCCAGCCTGGTTTAATCAAAGGGCTCCGTTCGAGAGCGCTCGTCATAATCACACCTACGCTTTTATCTTCCTCCGGAGAGGGCCTTCTCGTGGTCACAAAAGCAAATTCCTTCGGACATAGCGGTTCTCGCGGGGAGTTGATGAGATCAGCACAGCCTTCTGGGAAATGTAGTCCAGCCTGGCGCCCACAAACATGGCGAAACGGCCTGGAGGGAGGTTGTTCTGAATCATCTCAGCGCCCTACCTGACTTAACCAGTGCTTGCCCAGGCGCTACCTGCGACCTGGGAGTGCTCCTTCGTGCTCGAAGTGCGCAGACACATCGGGTCGCACTTTGTGCTTTTGTGCAGAGGTGGGTCTGGCCGTGGGTTCCCGGCGGTTTGGAGTGGGGGGAGCTACGGCCTGCGCGTCCTGGGCGCTGGCCGGCCTGGTGGCTGTGGGGGAAGGACCGGGATTCCGGGGCCGGGCTCGGGGTGCGCGGAGACGTCTTCCGAGGGGATTTCGGCCGTGTGGCGGAGTGAGTGACACGCCGCGTGGAAGATGTGCCTGTGGGAGAGAGCGAAAGAGCGCGGTCATCGTCCGAGTGGGGGCGGCGGGGATTCTTGGCCTGCGAGCCTGCCTTCGACCGTGAAATGTTGAAAATAGGGTGCTTGTTCTGAACCTCGATTTACTCCAAAATTTGGGGCGGCGGGGGCTAGGGGGACGGAGTGTTAAATAATTGGTGTGATAAATACTGTAAAACGGGATTGGGGTTTCTGTATAAAAAATGAATTTGTTATTGTATAGCATTCCAAATCAGTGTGACTTTTTAAATCTATACACAAAGGAATAGTTTAGACGAACTTATTTTTATGGGACTCCTGCTTCTTTGTCAGATCTTCAGACGCAAACAGGAGATTTGAGAAGCCCAGGCTTAAGGAATAATTTATGAGGCAATGTTGGCTCCCGTACAGAGATCAGAATTTGGGGTTCAGGATTGTGGGTGAGGCGCTGTAACTCCAGGTTCCGAAGAAAAAAAATGTTGGCCCAGAAAAGTCTTGGAGCCTGTTAAAGGCTGCACCTGGGGACCACAGCCAGTTTCCTCACAATGCCACAATGTCTTTGTGATGTAATTAAAGCATTTTGCTTTTCTCAAAGGTCCTTTCTCTGGCTATTTCACAAAATTAACCTTGCACATAAATTTAAATGAGGAAATTGTTAAGAAATTGGTTACAAAATTAAGATGTATAATTGTGAAAAATTAGCTACTAAAAGATGTAATGAAAGAAAATAGAATTAACAATAGCAACAAATCTGCTAAGCTAGCTTGAAGTGGAGTTAAGAAATGTGCAAAACCTTCATGACGGTATCACTAGTAAATTTCAACAAATGGGAAAAAAAATGCCATTATCTTGGAAAGGAAAATCCATTTCATAAAGATAGCCGTTGTCCCTAAGTTATTGCATTAATTTGATGAAATTTTAATAAAAATACCAGGAGTTTTTTAAAAATTATGTAAAATGATTTTAGAATTCATATTGGAAAAGAAACGTTTGAGAATAAACATTGAGCTCTGAAAAAATAAGTCAAATGAGGGTGTACTAATCCCAATTAAAAGAATGTAATACTGTCGCATGAACAGATCAGTGGAACAGAATGGACAAGCTATAGTTTATAGAATGAGATCCAAAAATGTAAGGAAATTTGGTGTATATTGAATATGGCAGCTCAGGAAGATTAGCAGTTTCAATGATGAGCATGGGACATCTGGATAACCATTGTTGAAACAACAGAGGAGGGATCTTCCAAAAAAAAAATTCATGGGAAATTTGTGTTATTAAGCTATGCGTGGATTTCAAAAACTTTGTTACACTGACATAATCTTATCTTTTAATTCCATTTTCCATGAGGTTTTTGCAGTACCCCGATATATATGTGGGCCTATTTCTGGACTCTGTTTCCTATTGATCTGATATTCATGGGCCTTAGGACCTGGAATTAACAGGGAGATCAGGGTTTCAGGGTTTTCCTTTGTATTTGTGTGAGATGGCGAATTCACAGAGAAGCTGCTTGGGGCAGTGCGGGGGTTCTCTGCGGCGAGTGGCATGCTGAGATGGCCGTCTCCATTGGCCTGGAGAGAGTGGCTTTGTGGGGTGAGGGTGGAATGGGGCCATCCTTTGATATGGATGATGGTGTGGCATAGGGGGAGCTCTTGAGACCACTGGTCTATAGGATGGAGGTGACAGCTAATATAGCTTAACCCTGAGCCACTGCTCTGGTCCTGGGCTAGAATATGAGAACTGGAGACTGCACCTGAGTCACCAGGAATAGGAATTTCCTTGTAGTGGCTCCTTTTGGGGACTCTGTGGCAAAAATGACACTTTCTAGAAGCCCCACCAGCCAAATATGAGGGGTCCTCAAAACGTTCATGGAAATGAAACAGTGAAAAATCGATGCACGAATTGCAAATTTTACACTACAACAAATCTGGCTTTTACTTCTTATTTTCCTACGAAGCCTTTGAAATCCCTTCCTAGGTATTTGAGACCTCTGGGAAGCTGCAGCCCCAGGTAGCTCCCACCTTGCGTGTGCCTTCTGACGCAGGGATGAGGAGGAGGTGCCCGGCTCCCTCTGACTTTCTGTGTGCACGCACGGGGCCCACGGAGATCGGGTCCTCGAGTCTGCTGAGACACAGCTGGTTTCTCCTAACTCCACTCTCCTTCCGCAGTTCTATGGTCTTCCAGAAGTGACCTGAGGAGCAAGGAAGCATGGATATTGTGGATGCAAAAACCACGTTCGAGGTGAGGGGCAGTTCCTTTCTGCCTGCTACTTTCTTGTTTGTTTGTTTTCCCCTGAAATGTGCTTTGCTGTTTGTATTAGGAACCAAGTCTGGTTTGAGATTTACCCGCATGACTCTGCTTTATTCTCTACGCGGACTGTGAAAGGTCATATGCTTGCCTTTTTACATTCAAGCATCCTGTAGCCATGTGGGGATTTGAATATCTGTGTGTATCTGGGAAATTTACTCATTCTCTGCACCTTAATCTCATCTGTAGGAAAAATCGCACTCACCGTTAGGTTTGTGACAGTGACCAAATTAATGCATGGAATACTCTTAGAACACCGGCACTTAAAATATATTCATTTACACAAGCTGTACGATCGTATCATGTACTGAGTTTGCTGTGGGTAAAAAAAAAATGAAAATATAAAATTAATTGTTTTGGATATTTGCAAATAAGAAATAGACCTAGCTGCTCAAATCCAGGAGTTTTTAAATCTGCAGGTCATTTAGTCATTGGTTACAAATCTTGTGAAAGAGGTATATAATTTATTGTGACTTAAGGTGAGCATATAAAGCCTACGAGTTTTAGTTCTAATATTCTAAAAATCGAAGTTATAATGCATTCGACAGCCATAGATGCGACCTTAGATAAAATGAGTGTCCCCAAAGAATTAAGGAAATTCTTCTCTGTCCATCTGGTGGAATATTTAACCAAAAAAAAAAAAAAAAAAAATCAGGCTGGTGCGCAGCGGATCTGGAATGCCAGCCCAGGCAGTTTGCCCTCATTGTTTGTGCTCTTCCCATCTGCTTTCCCTTTCTCCATTTTGTAAAAATTCACAGTACATGGGAAGAGTCACATTGCAGGCATCTACTCACAGAGCTGCCTTTCTAATTATTACCTAACCCTCTTTGAAAAGTATAGGTCCTTTTTAAAGCCTGCTCCCTTATGTAATAATTCATCATTTATTCATTAGGTATCATTTCTTTCCTTGTTAGTTAAAACTTGTGCTTATAATCGCTGGGGATCATGTAGTAATGTGTCAGGGAACTTTTCTCTGCTCTAGATATTTGTGTTGGCTAGTCTTTGTGTTTTTACAGGTCTCTCTTACTGATAATGTTTTTAAGTGTGGATGTGTAGAATTTTTAGGTCAATCACTAAGTATTTATTAATTATTTATTAATGCCAGGAATATTATTGATTCTATTTGCTGATACTTGGGAGATATGCAGTGATAAGAAAAATTTAGTTGCTGTCTCTTTTTTTTTATATAAGATTTATTTTATTTATTTGAAAGGCAGAAGGTAGGGGGCTGGAGGGGAGACAGAAGTCTTCGATCTGCTGGTTCACTCCCCAAATGGCTGCAACAGCCAAGGCTAGGCCAGACCAAAGCCAGGAGCCAGGAGCTGCTTCTGGGTCTCCCACGTGGGTGCAGGGGCCCAAGCACTTGGACCATCCTTGGCTGCTTCCCCAGGCACATCAGCAGGGAGCTGGATCAGAAGTGGAGCAGCTGGAACTCAAATTGGCACCCATGTAGGATGCCTGCATCACAGGCAGTAATTTAATGTGCTGTGCCACAAAACTGGCCCCTAGTTGGCATCCTTAACTTTCTCTTGGGGAATGCGCTTGGCCTGCATCTCTTATTGGGGTGCCTGGGTTCAGTACCTGCCTCCAGCTCCTGACTCTAGCTTCCGTCTAGAGTAGGCCCTGGAAGACGTTGATGGCGGCTCATGTAATTGGATTTCTGCCACTCAGGGGGGAGACTTGGATTGACTGCCCAGCCTGGACTGTCATTGGCATCTGAGGGAATGAGGGGAATGGGGGAATGGACCAGTAGATGGGAGCTCTCTCTGTCTCTCTGCTTCTCAAATTAGAAAACAGATTTGTTTTTCTCTGAGTTCGGTAAGGGAGATATGAGACTATTTGAAAAAGTTTGTGGAAAATGGAATTAAAAGATAACTTTATATTTTGTGGTGCAAAAAATTTTGAAATCTGGGGCTAGCACTGTGGCATAGTAGGTTAAGCCTACAGTGTCAGCATCTTATGGGCACCGGTTCGAGTCCCAGCTGCTCCCATTTCCAATCCAGCTCCCTGCCAATGGCCTGGTAGGGCAGCAGAAGATGGCCCAAGTCCTTGGGCCGTTGCACCCATGGGAGACCTGGAAGAAGCTCTTAGCTCTTGGCTTCAGCTTGGCCCAGGCCCAGTCATTGCAGCTATTTGGGGAGTGAACCAGTGGATGGAAGATCTCTCAATCTCTCTCTCTGTTACTCTGCCTCTCAAATAAATAAATCTTTAAAAATTTTTTTTTGAAAGCCATGTAGTGTTTTCATAATAAGCATTTTCCATGAACTTTTTGAAGAAATCTTCATATGCATGGTTTTCAAAAAAATTTTTTTAAAGATTTGTTTATTCATTTGAGAGGTGGAGTTACAAAGAGGGAGAAACAGAGAGGTCTTCCATCCACTCCCTAAATGGCTGCAACTGCTAGAGCTGGGCTAATCTGAAGCCAGGAGCTTTTTCTAGGTCTCCCACATGGGTGCAAGCTCTTGGGCCATCTTCACTGCTTTCCTAGGACATAGCAGGGAGCTGGATCGGAAGAGGAGCAGCTGGGACTTGAACCAGCACCATTATAGGATGTGGTGCCGCAGGCAGAGACTTAACCCGCTACACCAAAGTGCCAGCTCCTTCAAAAAAAAATCTTTAAAGGTTTATTTATTTATTAGAGAGGCAGAAACAGAGGCACAGAGAAAGAGAAATCTCGCATTTGCTGACTCACTTCCCAGATGGCCACAAAGGCCAGAGCTGCGCCGATCCGAAGCCAGGAGCCAGGAGCTTCTTCCAGGTCTCCCACAGGGGTTTAGGGGCCCAAGGACTCGAGCCATCTTTCACTGCTTTCCCAGGCCATAGCAGAGAGCTGGATTGGAAGTGGAGCAGCCGGGACAGGAACCAGTGCCCATATGGGATGCCGGCACTACAGGCAGCGGCTTTACCCTCTACACCACAGCACCGACTCCCAAAATTTTTTATACCAAATATATTTATGTTTTAAATTTTCTTTTGTATAGACTTTGTAAAAATACTCTCATGCAGTATATACAGAAATAGGGTGAGATGTGAGATGGTGTTCCTTGGGACTTCACAGGAAGGAGACATTTTTCAAATGTAGGAATCTCTGCCATTTTAGAAAACCATCTTGAATATGTATTCAAGATGGGAATAGAGGAATTTTGTGTAGTAAACTTTATGCCTGGTAATTTTTGTATGAATATGTTTTTTGCCAGGTGAGACCAGTGCAAGATGAATCACTAACTCTGTGGAGGGCATCATACAAGTGTACTTCACAAGCTTCGTGGAGAAATGGAATTAAAATTTTGGTATAGTTTTATGGAAAATGCATGTTATAAGGCAACTCTATGGTTTAAAAATTTCTTTGAAGATTTATTCATTTATTTGAAAAGCAGAGTAACAGGAAGATACAGAGACAAAGAGATCTTCCATCTGCTGATTCACTCCCCAAATGGCTGCAATAGCTGGAGTTGGGCCAGGCCGAAGCCAGGAGCCAGAAACTCCATCTGGGTCTCCTACGTGGGTGGCAGGGGTCCAAGTACTTGAGCCATCTTCTATTGCTTTCCTTTGCACATTAGAATGGAGCGGGATTGGACGCAGAACAGCTGGGACTTTGAACTGACACTGCAGTATAGGATGCTGGCATCTAAAGCGGCTGGCTGCTTAACCAGCTGCACCACAGTTCCAGAATGTACTTATTTTTAAATTTCATTTTATACCAGAATTTACTTATTTTTTAACTCCATTTTCCACAAACTTTTTGAAGTTCTGTCATACTGAAAAGGATTAGCTAAAAAAGAAAATTCATCCATCCTAATAGATACATAAAAGCATACTTAGAACTATCTCCAGTGCATGTAAGATATATAGCTATTAAGTCTGTTAGATATAGACTGTTAGACATTTTTGTAAATAAACTTATTTTAAATACACAGAAAAATTAAGATAGTATAATAGTACCTCAAAGGCAGTTCCCCAGTGATTAACATTTTACATTAGTATGGAACATTTGTCTCAATATTGATACATTATTATTAATTGAAGTTCAGATTTTATTCTGATTTCTTCCTTTTTTAAAAAATTCATTTTACTTATTTCAAAGGCAGAGTGACAGAGAAAGAAAGATTTCCATTCCTGGTTCCTTCCCCAGTGGCCTCTATGGCTAGGGCTGAGCCAGATCGAAGCCAAGAGCCTAGAACTCCATCCTGATCTCTCGTGTGAGTGGTAGGGGCCCAAGCACCTGGGCTGTCTTTCCTAGGTACATTAGGGAGCTGGATCAGAAGTGGAGCAGCCAGGACAGGAACCAGCACTTTGATATGGGATGCTGACATCGCAAGCTGTATCTTAACCTACCGTGCCAGAACACTGTCCCCAAATTTCTTCATTTTTCCCGAATGCCCCTTTTCTGTTCCAGGATCCCATCCAGGATGGCACAGTGTCTCAGTTTCCTTGTTTTTGGTGACTGACAGTTATTTTGTAGAATGCCCCTTAATTGGAATTTGATGTTTTCCTCATAGTTAGACAGGGACTGTGGGTTTGGTAAGGAAGACTGCAGTACTTAACTGCCATTCTCAGTACGAATCAAGGAACTTACAGCAATTAATTACTGCTCTTCTTAAGCTGGATTTTCTGGCTGAGGTAGTGTTTGTCAGTTTTCTGTTAAATTACATGTCCCCCCACTTTTCTACTACATTTTTTTTTTTTTTTTTTTTTTATCTTTTAAGATTTGTTTATCCGAGTCTCCCCCATGGGTGGCAAGGGCTCAACTCCTTGGGCCATCTTCTACTGCCTTCCCAGGTGTATGAGCAGGGATCTGGATCAGAAGTGGAGCAGCGAGGACTTAGCCGCTCACATGGGATATCAGCCTTGCAGGCAGCAGCTTAACCTGCTACACCATAGTGCCAGCCCCTCTACTGTACTTTTTAGTAAGAAATCATATACAGCCCACACTTAAGGAATGTGGAATTATGTTACAACTAACTCCTTAAGGTGAGATATCTACACAAATTATTTGGAATTATGCATAGGAGAGTTACTTGTTCTTCCCCACTCTAAAAATTTTCATACTACCTATGGATTCATGAATACTAATTTTATGCTTTTGATTATAATGTGATCCTTACTGCTTTGTGAATTCTTTCATATGGCTGGGCATTTTCAGAAATTTCTTGTAAATCATGTTTTAAAATAATTTTAAGTTTATAGAAAAGGGAAGACTTTTTTACTCTGGCCTTGCCCCCACCCCCCACACTTTTTTTTTTTTTTTTTTTTTTTTTTGGTTTGACCATAGGACTAGGCTTGATCATTGGATTGCCTCCGGATGACTGAGTCTTGTTCTTCATCTTACAGGGAGTCTTGCCATTTTAATGCAAAATGTAGTTTCTGTATTTCCAGGGGATAGTGCCAGATAAAGAAGTGGTGCATGGGGAATGGGGACCTGGAATGAAGTAGGCAGTGCTTGTGACAACCTAGCTGCTTAGTGAAGGTCAACACCAGCCCACTTTGCTGCTGTGTGAATTTTCAAAGGGACCTCCTGACACCATCATCTGAAATTTCAAGTATGGCTACATTTGCAGTTCACTTGTAATTTAGCATCAGGGGTGCTAAAAGATAATGTGTTTTCAATGCAAAAACCAGAAAAGGCATACAGTAAAAATGACCTGTAGTTCTACAACATTGAAAATATTTTCTGCAAATCCTTCTACTTTTCCCTATGTATATTCACATAGATGTGAGTTTTCCACCCAAAATGGACTATAATGAATATTGCTTGCTAACCATCCTTGTTCAGTGCAAGATTGGAATGAGGCTTTTCACATCACAGATAAGGAGAAAAGCTAACATTGTTATGGCTATCCTGTTTTCCATTATTTGAGTGTTAATAGAAGTTAATAAATTATGTCTCCTTTTACATGTTTAAGTCTCCATTTGGATAAGATCTAAGTAGTATAATTGCTGAGGAGACAAACCTGCATATGCTTCTGAATTTAGCCTTTGTGCAGGGTGTTCTGAGACTATGCCCCACACACTAATAGGGGATTTAACTAGTTTTCTCATTTTGCCAATCTCATAACTGAAAAGTGGTATTTTTACTTTGCCATATAAATTCTTGATTATAAGTAGTATGTTACCTTTCTATTGAAATTTCTTCAGTAATTATGTTATTGGAATTCATCAAATGTACTTGCGTCCTTTACAAGGAAGTTTTCAAATTCATTCATATGCTCTTTAAGATCGAGCTGGTGGGGCCGGCGCTGTGGCGCAGCTGGTTAACGCCCTGGCCTGAAGTGCCGTCATCCCAGATGGGCGCCAGTTCAAGTCCTGGCTGCTCCTCTTCTGATCCAGCTCTCTGCTATGGTCTGGGAAAGCAGTAGAGGATGGCCCAAGTCCTTGGGCCCCTGCACCCACATGGGAGATCCGGAAGAAGCTCCTGGCTCCTGGCTTCGGATCAGTGCAGCTCCGGCCATTGTGGCCAACTTTTTTAAAGATTTATTTATTTGAAAGGCAGAGTGATGGAATCTTACACCTGCTGATCCACTCCCCAAATCACCGCAAAGGCCACTGTTTGGCAGGCGGAAGCCAAGAGTCAGAACACCATCTGGGTTTCCCACATGGGTGGCAGGAGCCCAAGTACTTGGGCCATCTTCCTCTGATTTCCCAGGCAATTTAGCAGAGAGCTGTATTGGAAGCAGAGCAGCCGGACTTGAACCAGCGCTTTAATATGAGGATGCCATTGTCAGGAGCAGTGACTTAGCCATTGCGCCACAAAGCCAGCCTTCCTTATTGGTTTCTTCACCTCTAGGCCAAATGCCTACTCCCTCCTTCTAAAGAAATGTTTATTTTTGAGATGCAGAAGGTGAGAGAGAGTGACAGTGCACTCATCCTTTTGGAGCTGGATGTTGTGGGTGTTAAGTGTGTCCCTTCGTCTGAAGAAGTGTAACACACAGTCTAGATTGGCCATGCTCCTCTGTTCCAAGTCCTTCACAGTATTTTGAGCAATACAGCTACCATCAAGTATGCCACAGCTCAGACCAGGGTAAGTGTTGATTCCTGTCCGGGTCCATTTATAGCCTCCAGGACTGCCAACAGCTGTCTGATGTAATCCGGTGCCGTATCTCTGTGTGAGGACTTCCCTAGGGAAGCAGCCCTAACTTGTTCTTCAGTTTCTGATACAGTGTCATCAGTGTAGTGTATTGTTACACTCAAGACCTGCATCAAATACAGGCTGTCCTAGCCAAATTATAACAGTAAGCCAGAGAGTTCAAATAACACTGTGGTGATATAGTAAATATAAATTGGAAACTCCCCACACATGAAAGCAGTCTGCTTGGCACTTTTCCTAGATCAGGATCAAGAAAAAAATATTTGCACGGTCAGTACTGGTGTCCTTTAGCTTTCCATAGTTATTTGCACTGTTGAAACCCTGTTAGGAACTGCTTGTCTGAGTGGTACTACTTCACTCGAGCCTCAGTAATAGTAATCTATTGTCATTTTTCACAAGCCATACAGAGTATTATACAGAAAATTTATTGGCACAAGCACCACAGCTTGTGATAATTTATTGCAGAAATTATACTTGATATTCTATAGTATTTCAGATTAGCAACCTATATGGGCTTGAGCCATTTTATAGGTTCCTGTTTAGCATTTCTACTTAACTGTGACAAGGGAAAACGTTCATGCGGGAAAACGTTCATGCCTTCAGTTTTACGGTACTAGGCAGGGTAGGGGCAGTGTTCCTGAACAGATACAGTGCCCTTCCCAATCATACATTCCGATGAGCAAATGTAACCAGTTCACCCACAGCCCATCCCCACATTTCAGTTTTCATCCAGACTTCCATCTTTATCCCAGTCTAACTGTAGCCCTCGTTAGGACTTCACCAGCATGTTTTGGAATCACGGTGTATTGGGCTCCAATGTCAAGGAGTCTCAGAAAAGTTTCATGGCCCTTTCCCATATACGTACATATAGCTTTAGTTTCTTAGCTGGGTTACTCATCCTGATTAATTTGTCAGACATTCAGATACCCCAAGGTATTTGAAATCAGCTATCATCCTTGCCTTTCAGCCGTTTAAGTTTTCAAACTAGGACAGATTTGTTTAGGGCCCTTGAATATTAGGGGATCAGCCAGGGCGCCCACTGGTCCAGCCAATGCCTGTTAGAATCTTTTGACCTCATCATTGTCCGCTGTTTCAAACACACAGTCTAAACTTTCACAACAAAGAGAGAACGTACTTGTCTTTCTGGGTCTTGCTTATTTCATTTAGCACATTGATCTCCATATCCATCCATTTTGTTGCAAATGT